CCGTAACAAGAAGGCAGAACTGCCAGTAGTAATGCATATTTATTAGGTCTTACTATATTAATTAAATATTGTTTAATTAATTAGGCGTAAGATTTTAGATATTGGCGCATATCTAAACCATAATAAACACACTTTCAATTGAACGGAAGAGCGTCTTTATCTTGGTTTTAGGTTCTAAGTACTACTGGAGGTAGCGAATTGCGATCCGCTACACTCGCACTGTCCGCCTCGCTGCACGAGTCTTGGGGGGCCGTGCTCTATAGCATCGGCGGAAAGTGTCGCGAATCCCCAACTTCAAGCTGACGACGAAATCAGCTTGCCATTGACAAGCTGGACCTGATTCAAGGAGCTCATAATGCTTTAATGCAAGCGCATGCGTCACATCGACTTTTGCACAGAAAAATACTCTACGATTACTGTCCAAAGTTGCTCGACACGCTAGTGCGAAGCTCATTCACGCCTATGTGTTCGGAGCTCCCGCCTACACCAAGATCAAGTTGAACGCTAGTAAAGTTGTTCAGCAAGCGTTTTCTCAACCCGAAGTTTTCGATGTCCACCGCCTGCGCTTAGAGCAACAGTAATTCGAGCAACCCACCCTCCGTGAGGGATTCTTCCTTGGTGTTTGAAGCTGGCAAATGTACCGATGAGCTCACGCTCTGGGTGTGAAAAACATGCCGTCTTGCGCGTCTTAAAGCTTTCCGAGCCAGCTTCATTGGAGCGATTGTGTCAGAACCACTTTCTCAAAATTTAATGAAAAATGATATATTAAAAATATTTTTTCTTTTCTTCTTAGGATCAAATCCTGCTCTCATCATATTCATAGTATACTATATGTATATCGTGGCGATGCCAAATGCACATGGAGTAATGGCAAATCCTTCATGTCGAGTAAAGTGAAGCCTGTAGAGACACGCTCTGATTTATTCAACGTAAACTCACTAGCGAAAGCAACATGTTCCCGTATCGCGGTCTTTCCGCGCGAGTGCTTCCTAAGAAGAACAATATCCTTCACAACGCGATTCGCGCGATCCATCCGGCCGTCTGCTTAGGAATCATCATTGATTGATATATCCAATCTTGTGGCGAGTACCTTAAATTAAGTTTGATAAATCTAATTGTTAAGCTCGAATGTCTACTCAATACAATGATTGCCGATAGTCATGCTGACAAAACAGTTTGATAAGAACCGGCTCGGCTGTATTCTTACTGGCACACAAAATCGCCGATGGCAGTAACATGAGCCATCTTGCTCAGAGGATCACAAATACCACAAATCTGAAATCACCGTTTGCGTATTTTGGGGATAAATACATTTTGTTTTTTAAGACTACCAACACTCTCCTGGAACCAGCAGACTAACAAGAAGTACCAGGGCTTATCCAATGAAACGATTGGCAATGTGCTTTCTTACTTGTACATGTCCTGCCACCAATATATAGCACTCACCGAGAATATTTTCTTTTTTCTTCCGAAACCTTTTGAGGTAGTGCCTTGTGGGGTATTCCGATTCTTAGTCCCTCAACAATAGGACCGACTACACGCTGAGCCTGTGTTCTAATACAGAAGCCGTTAGAAACATAACTGTGCAGGCGTGCAACCCTACTATTCAATAAAGTAACAATCTGAGCCCTCAACGCCTTGCTTTTCAAAGCTTTCGTCAGCACAACACGTATTGCGTCTGATCCGTACGCTTTACATTTCGCTTCATCATTTCGCAGCGTCACCATTGTGATTTGCGATAAGCGATAGTTGGGATGACGCGAAAGAGTGTTCATATCAACATTAAGCTGACCCGGTTGATGCCTTGCCTCAAAGAGGTGATTGACAAAGAAGGATGGCTGTCTTGCCATTCTCTATGACAGGCGTGGCGACAACGTGGCTATGCTTGACGGCGCGTAATCTGTATAGGTCACAAACTACCCAGCGGATGCACCGTAGGGAGAGTTGCCTATCTGGATTCGTCAGTATCTGGCCACGCATGAAGTTCATCGTTAGCAACAATGAAGTCTACCTAACACCGCGCCTATACACCATTTGACATCCTTTTGAAGAAGATTATTAAGGGGTCACGCCATGTCGGCATTGTTTGCCTTTATTTGTGCATGTAAGTTGATCGAGCCACTCCCTCAGATTCTTATTTATCAGATGTAGCGGGCGGGTCTATAATGGCCCTTCTTTTTGCGGGATCTGCATTTAGGATGAATCGCAACCCAGAGAGGAGATTTTGTAGGCACTACTCTTTATCAGCGAATGTTTTGTCTACACTCGAGTACTACCCACAAGTCTTTATTGAAAATATCCATGACAGTTCTCCCTGCTATAGACAAATATAGTTTCGAAACAATTTTTTTCTAGACACGTAAGGGCCTAGATATCACCAGACGATTGACTGTAGTTGGAGAATGGGTACACCCAGGGCAAATCACTGGGAGTAATCACTGCAGTGAAAGGAACGTCCATGTTCTTCACAAACAGTCAATAAAACTCTCAAGTGTGTTGAGCCGATACAGCTGATAATGCTGCTCTGTAGCATGTTCTATATAGAAATCGACATTAACTCCATATAAATAGTTATATTTAGCTTACTGGAAATATGCACAATTTGCCATTTGTCAATAATTTCCCGGCACAGAAAGTCAGCATAAAATGGGTGATTTTACTTACTCTCACTAAATCCTCTTCGTGTTTAGCACGGAAGAAAGCGTTGATGAGATTGTACTTATTTCTTGAATCATGTCATGTGACGTGGTATTTTGTTTCAGGAACCAAGTAAAATTAAGGTTATATGCCCGATCCGGGGGAATCACGCATGGTGGGCCTTTTTTGTCATCATGTCCTAGATTCTTGAGCAAAATATTAAAGAATCCGACGAGTCCTGAGGGATAGTTGCTCCATTCCTCACCCTCAGTACTAGGTCAGTGTTCACAACATCGGACACATTAAGAACGACTGCTCCTTCAACTTGACTTCTTTAATGACCCCGGCGTCTTGCAGTTCCTTGAGCGCATATTTCAAAACAAAACCTTAAGCTTAACAAGAGGTGTGGTGTAGTTAAGAAAAAATTACTTACAACACCTAAACTAGCCTTCGTCAACATTTCGGTTGAATATAACTTATTTGCAACAAAGCATGATGCTTTGCTGCATCACACGGCAAATGGCTCGCACGATAGAGGTGACGTGGTGGGGTCATTTTATCGATGCAAGGATAAGCTTCTCTTGTAACTTCAGGGCCCGACTCTCTAATCGCGACTTTCAGCCGCCCGTCTACATAGCCCCTTTCACAGGATATGACTATGTTCGGTCGCTTGTAATCTCCTTCAACGGATATTTTCAAAACACCATGACCAACCCTTTTCGTACTCGTCGTTACATATATACGCGCTGGATACCTCGATATAGGATCACTCCATTTCATATCGTTATAAACAGCTGCACCACTGTCGCTACTGTCTTCCAAGTTTTACACAAGTCACTCAGCAACATTGTTGCTGATAATATTGGACAATCCCATGCCCTGCATTGAAGCTATTGCATTTTTTTGGCGTAAAAATGTCAGTTCTCAACAGCAGAAGTGGATTCATGCGCTGTATTATAATAGGAGAGTAGTGTGTGGCATTGTATGTCTTTGCCTTCCGGTCGATCTAGGGCTTAAAGTATTCCAGCCAGGCCAAATTATGGCTAGAATCCATTGACTTCGACATCTACGATGTAATGGATTTTTTGTACTTCTCGGTACATGAACCTTACACGTCTGTAAAATTGTGTACAATTTAGAAATGTACAATTGAACGATTTTCTTATCACAATTTAGTGCAAATGTAAACATCCAATAGTATCGAAGAAGCGATTCTCATGAATATGAAGAGCTCCGAAGCGAACACACCCGTGATACACGTGGGCTGTAGCCGCACGCAAATAATTAAACATCGATGTTATTCAAAGCTCTAAAACGTATATTTCTTAGTCGAGATAGGATAAGCCCATGACATTTGTCTTTCTTGTAAGAGCAGAGAAACTTTAAACAAGCTTTTTTGAAAGCATTTGGTTCTGTACCTGATTACATCGTACGAGCTCTACCATAATGCGATCTATGTGAGGCGAAGCTCTCTCGGCATAAAAGGGCAACCATGTTGCATTGTGGAGCTCTTAGCCAGTCCCACGACTGATTCGTGAAAGGACTGTACTTTTTGTGAGGATGAAACACTATTATGTGAGCTCCTATATCCGGGACTGTTGATAAGAAAACACTTAGACAAGAGGTGTCATAATGGTTAGATACCGATAAGTAAGAGAAAGAGGCCAAACTTTTTGTATGAGTAGACGACAGGACATCTAGTAACAGGCTTAAATGCAGCAAGTTCTATCGCAAACTAATAAACGAACAATTTAATATTCACTTTGCCATCTACCGCTCATATGTTTTAGCCTTGCAATCAAGAATTTACAATTGGCTTTGGTCTGGTCTACTTGTAATGCGCATGATGTATTGTCGCATATCAAGTCGCACTTCGAGGAGCTAACATGCCTATTTTAATTGAACCTCCTCCACGATCGTGGTGAGCAAAAGTAACGATGTGCAAGAGTGCGTTGACGAGATCAGGAGACTGGCAGAACAGCTTCACGTTGTTAGCGCCCTGTCAAGACAGACGACTTTGTTCTGATGCTCCTCGCAAATTTCGCCGGATTGTACAATTTCCTGATTTCGGTATTGATGGCGAGAGCTGGCTCGCTGCGTGGGAGCCCGTGATGCCTCGGCTGCATCACGAGGACATAAAGCGCAAGATACAGGGTGGCGGTATCAACAGAGCCGCGCACTATGAATATGAAGCGATTGTACCTGCAGACACTAGACGGTGCAAGATTCGACCAGCGCCGATGAAAGCTGCAAGAACTGTCACCACTATAGATGGCATGGAGATTGGATAGCATTGTGCCCAATGTGTATCCACGAGAATGCAAAATGGCAAATGCACAGCGCATTTGTTTAGCTCAGATCGAAAACCATTTTTCTTTATTAATGATTGTTATGCAATCAGCATCATGTCAATTCACGAGTGGCTGGTCGACTCGAGTTTGACGCAATGCATGTCGCACTCAAAAGTGTACAGGGAGATTACAAGACCAACTCGCCGGTAAACGATGGCGTGCTTCAAGTTGTTGGTACAAGATATTAATGCTCGCAATAGACGGGACAAAGCAGGGTGTACTTACAATGAATGGCAGAAAGCTTTCACGCCAGACGCTTTACGAAGGATATCAGGACGGCCACCTCCAAGCACGAGAGCTGATTTGAAGCAAAAGGTCTTTGAAAGAAGTTTGGTTTGCCAAGGCAAGATTTCTTTCAAGTTTAATCGGCATGGACGAGGCTGATGTGGCAAGCTCATCATGACGTCATCAGGATAACGTTTTGTGCTTTTGGTACCTTCGACTTGGTCACTTCGAAGGTTATTGTGTTGGGTACGCATTAATATTTCATCATGGTACTTGATCTTGGGAAATCAAAGCTTTGCTTCAATCCGCGGCAACGCGTACGTATATTTTAATAATGTTCGTATTCCGTTTTCGGCTGTTCTTTGTCTGCCGGGAAATCAGCATCACTTTAAAATTTTAGCTATGTAATTTGACTTCCTTTCCACGAAGTTTGTGTCATGTAGTATTTCGCAACCATCCTAGCAATACTTTTGTCCATAAAGCCTGGCTTGTGTGCAGCTTTTCTTGTTGCCCACTGTACTCCAATGCCAGGTCCTGTCTAGAGTATCAGGAAATCCAAAATAATCTTTAGACCAATGACTGGAGGATTCATATATTTATACTCCAGCCTTCCACAATCAAAAAAAAATATAATCAGTCTCGAAATTCATTATTGTAAAGTTTTCATCATGAGAAGCCATTTCATCACGTGACATCAAAACTCGCTTGCGATATTCCAATATTCACAGGAATTGATATTCCAACAACAAAAATCATAATTTATTGGTGTAATACGGGGTATCTCTTCTTTAACGCAACGGGATCGGTCAGATTGTGACCTTCCTCTTCTTGATTTTTTATGTGTTTATCTGCCGCTTTTAATTGCTGAGTCTACGTTCAATATGAAGTTATTTCGTGCTCGCACCGTGTTTCGAAGGGCAGGCCAATGAGAATGAGGGTTTAAGGACTGTAAAATAACTATGTATTGTGCTATTTGGAATTGATGTTCTTACCGCGACATTGCTCGCCACATCGCGATCTAGGTACCGATTCTTGCTTTCGATATCCGTGATGTGCCTATTTCCGACTCGTCGAGCGGAATATGTACAAGGTAAAATCTATCCAAATTACGTCCTCATTCTCTGTTTTTAGTTATGAAAAAGGAAATTGTAAGATTGGTCAGATCTAAATGTGTTGGGTGGCAATTGTTTTGAAAAGCTTGGGAAGCGAGAATTCCCTTACTTGGATGTCGCAATATCAAAGCATTTAGTTGCGTATTCGCACCACTATTTTAGTGGCCTAATGTTTTTGTATTACATCACTACACCCATCTTGATGTGAAATCTCATATTGGGGACCTCAAGTACAGGATACTGCATGAATAACATGATACACCTGGTGGGATCAGAATGGGAGAAGCGATAATATAATTAGTGAGCGATATGTATTGACAATCCAACAGGTAAAATAATTAAGTCCTCACGTGCGCACGCACAAAACCTGTCAGCGGATAAATCCCCACCCTAATTATTGGCGCCTATGGACAATCTGCCGAGTTAGTAGACCATTAGTATAAACTTTAATCTGGGATTTTTTAAGTTTTCAAGCGTTGTGACCGTTGGGGGCATCTACGGAGATATTCCATCTCGGTGCTAATTGCGACACCAATTGCGGTGATCATACATCCAAAGTGCACCATGGCAAATTTTTTACTCGCCATTCACAATTTTTTCGAGTCAAAATCCACGCATCACAGCAAAATCTTGGCGAATCTTGTGTGTTCAAGGGACTTGGTATTAGAATCAATTTGTCTACTGCTGATCGTTCCAGACACATGTTCAGTTAGAACGCTCAAATACGCTGTGAACAATATTGTTCCAAACACCTGAGCAAAGATGTTGTTATGCTGGATCAAATATCTTCCATTCTCATTTTTTGCTATAACTCAGCACGTCTCTACTGGTATAAAGATATTTTGTATATAAATCTCAGCTCACCCGTGTTTCCCGTTTGCATTGTCACCATTTAGCTGCGGTCTTAAAGAGTAAGAGTTAGAAGCGACATACATTGTTATGGTGCTCCACAATAAAGATATCAGGCACAAATGGCTTCCTGCCGGGATCGGGGGGTTTGTCGATGGTGCTGCCCTATGAAGCAAGGTTTAACTTGCTCACACATTCTAAATGTGCGCGCATACGTTTTTACCCACATATACGTGCTACACCACATAATTATAGCGTTTAGTAGGCATTTTGTATTTTCTATTCCGAGATATCCACCCGAAGAGGTACGTAAAGTGGCAGTCCAATATTGTGGACTTTTTTCAGTCTATAGGAGACGCGTTCGATCATATTGTTTTGTTTATGGTAAGATGGCTCATTTCGCTGTTGTCAGCGATAATGTGACCGGTGATGAAACAGCTAAGTTGTTCCTCGACAACGTGGCTGGTCGACATGACATGTCGGTAGCTATTGTGTCGGAGGAAGATCCACACTGTACAGCAACGTTTTGATGAGACAATACCCGGCGCCAATTACTCGCAATGCGATGGTTAGACGGAACGTGTGAACTGTGCTGTGAAGATATCATTCTCAGTGAGTTCGAGTCACATAACGCATTGCATATTTATACAGGCTTTACTTCACTTAATATACATGGTTTGATAGACCCCTCGGGAGCTTTCGATACCATTTCAAAGTGGTTGAGATCTCAGGTGGAAAGAGTTCGTCGTTCTAGTTTGACTTGCTGATATCAGCCTCACTACACTTCCTACCAAAATAAAGAATTCCATCTTAATGAGATTGGCTGGACGCGCGATATTTTGGTGAGAGTCAAGAATTCTGAAACCACTACACCAATATCAGAGGTACGTGAAACACACAAGAATATTTTTGGTAAAACATTTGACTAAAAACGATAATGATACCTACATATGCAGTCTGTATTTTCTAACACAGTTGCGACCGCGCTACATCAAACCGTTCGCGGTCATAGCGAGAAAGGGATAATACTAAATAAAATGCAACCCCACTTTTGGTTTTACGTGAGCTTATAGAATCCATACCACGATCCAGCTCTTGTGAGCCATATGGATGCAAAGAGCTTTGTAGCAGACGTAGCAACGTCCCCACCATCACCTGTTACTAAGCCACCCTCTGCTCTAAAGCAGTGGTACAATTGCGAGCTGCCGGGGCGCCGCAAGTTACATACTATTACAAAGGTCAGCGAACGAGCCCGAAAATTTGGTTTTGGATGCATGACGAGACTCTTGGAGAGAAACGAAGTGGTACCATAACCGAGAGAGAGCTCAAGGATTAGCGGTGGAACATTCGATGTAACGGAGTAACACGTACCCTGGTATGAAAGGGTGGGTCACATCATCTTGTGTGACTTTACAAAGGTGTGAATTACACAAGGCGGTGTAATCACACAACGGTGTGGATACACCGTAACAAGAAGCCACTACCTGGTGGGACTGCCAGTAAATTTGCACATTATTAAGTTCTAGTATTTAATCAGGAAAACCTAGAGATTTAGATATAGACGGCTCTGTCGCAAATAAAACAGATAAATACGCTTTCAATTTTGAACAGAAGCGTGGATTTATCTTGGGTTAAGGTATTGCTTTCTGGCGGATTGCGATCCGCTGCACTCATTCTGGTTCTAGTATAGAACGTAAGGTCGGTGACCTGAGTAACTATCCTCTAAGCAAAGAGCTACGGCAGCCCAGCTGCACTTGTTAGCACTCGCAGTCAATCTACGCCTAAGGTTTCGACTGATCCTCTATAGGAGCAATATTCCTATCAACTCCAGGTATGCAGGACGGGCTTCAAACAAATGTCTCTGCTTTGCCATGAGAGCGTACAACAACTCAACTTGCAAGGACCTGAAGTGATCAGCGCGCGCCAAGAGGATTTTGCAACTATGAAAATTCTCTGCTAGAGCCCTAAAGCAGAAGATGTCGGCGTTGACGGTGGCGTCATGCTACAGCGGTCGACGACGGACGAATCCTCCCGATCCAGGCCGCTCATGGTGAGCATTAAGACCTTCGAGGGTAAGGATTGATTTGAATCTCCTGCTCTGGGTGAGAGAGGCCGAGATGGCTATGGCATCCGCCGTGCTCCAAAACAAGCAACAGCGTGTGGCGCTAGCTATCTCCAAGCTCAGGGGTCCGAGCGCGAAAATGAGCGCTAACGCGTAATACTTCGTTTGGAGCAGCGTTCCCCTCCTGGGAGGAGCTGAAGCGTCAGTCTTTTCAAGTTTTCTCGCCGCCTTCCATGCATGTCGCGTGCGATCGCGTTTGCTTGCCGCCCGACAAGGCAAGAAGGAATAGTTGGATTTTGTCAAAGAGTTGAGAAATTTCATTGCCGGGATGGCAGTCGATTCCGTCCCCGAGGCGGTCATAGTTAATGTCTTTATGGAGGGTCTATGCACTGGCGCGGCCAGAATGGAAGTCTTCCGTGTGAATCCGTCTTCTTTAGAAGAAGCGCTGAATGTGGCATCGAATGCCGAATTCAACTTTATGGCGGCACGACTTGGTTGAAATGCACAATTTATAGCTCGACGGGCGTACCTGAGCCAATGCATCTCAGCTATGCTGAGAATGAAGGGGAGAGCTTCGAGCTGCCGCACAGCGTTTTAACACCTGACTGTGGTCTGTCTATGGAGACAGCCGTCACCTTCGGATTGGTTGTCCCCTGTGCAAGGCGCGTCAAGGTTAATCGATTTGACATCCCGCTTCTCTTCAGTCTGGTTTGTCGCGGTCCCGACAACGATGCCCTTTTGCGTCGTCCCATCAGCATAATGCCGCATGACACTAGCAATTAATGCGGCGATGCGTACAACGTATGAATCAGTCAAAATATGTGCTGCGCTGCTTAACGCTTTTGGATAAATACCTTAATGTCGCTACACCGAAGCGTGGATTTGCACGTTTGCACAGCTAAACATTCTCCTTGACTAGCACTGTTACAGTGCTGACCCATATGTTCTTCAGCGTTAAGTGGTGTGTCGCGATGAGGACACCCGCTACAAAATGCCTTACGACGCAAACGATACCTCTCCACTTTGTCACTTTAGGAGAAAAGCTCATTATGTATGATGAGCGCTGTATATTAGCAAATTAACTTGTATTAAAGGGCAAGTGCATATGTGTACATGCATGTGGCGTATTAACGGATAAAATCTCCGACATACTGACAGCACCAGTGGCCAGCATATCGGGTGCTGGCAGTTTATAGGTATGGACTCCATTTTTGGGCTTCTTGATTCGCGTCTAGTATTTCCGGTATTGTTGTTTCTGTAGACTGAAAGATAGAATGGCTCATCCCACTGCTGTTAGCGACACCATAACCGGTGAGGAAAAGCAGCAAAGCGTTTTGTCAACATGGTTTGGCTATCGCGTCGGATTGTTATCTGCATTTTTGAGTAAAGTTCGCTAGGAATCTTTGCTAAAGGAATCAACTATCGAATTGAGCACTCCCTCCCCCGCTGATAACTTGATAATCAGTCTGCATGCGCTGATCGTGCGGTAGGGGATATCTTTCAAAGCATTTGCGCGGAAAACGTAGATGCTGAAAACAATGCTCTCACTAATGAATAAAACAATATAAGTTGAAAAAGCCCCACCCTTTATCAGAAATGATTTAGAAATCCCTCTATCGTTCTTCACCCTGCAATTGCCTCTGATCTTGGAAAGGAATGGGCGGTCAACTCAGATCAACTCTATCATCCCGGCTATACTTTCGACGAAAATTTAAAATTTTATTACGATAAGATTGAGCGTCATATGGCGAGTGCAACGCTACTGCTGGGAGGCAGACTGTGAACAAGCAATATGAAAATTTCAGAGGCAGATTGGACATACATGAGTAGGTGGTTTGAACACGCAAACTACATCTTAAAGTCCTGAGTCAAACATGAGACATGACATCGCAGCTGCTGACAACATGAACAACGTGTGAAAACATTTACCGTCTACCGTCGTCACCGCGTCACAAGGATGATTTTAGGTAGTTCAAACACGCTGTAGCACATTTGCAAGCGATTAAAAAAACAGGTGACATGATATAGTAGCTGCTGACAACGTGACGAACGTCTAGATGCGTTTGCCGTCGTCGCCGCGTCAACATGAATTGTCTAGGTGGATTGAACATGCCAAGCACATCATAAAGTGCTTATACAAACTTGATACATGACATCACAGCTGCTGACAACGTGAACAACGTCTAAATACATTTGCCGTCTGCTCGTAGCCTCGATAAATAAGATACGTCCAGGTTGTTCAAACACGCTGTAGCACCTCTGCAAGCGATCCAAAGAACAGGTGACGTGATATCGCAGCTGCTGACAACGTGACGAACGTCTGGATGGGTTTGTGTCTTCGCTTCGAATGCGTTTGCCGTCGTCGACGCGTCAACATGAATTTTCTAGGTGGTTTGAACACGCGAAGCACATCTTAATGTACTCAGTCAAACATGAGACATGACATCGCAGCTGCCGACAACGTGAACAATGTCTAAATACATTTGTTGTCTACCGTCGTCGTCGTCTCAAAACGATACGTCTGGGTAGTTCAAACACGCTGTAGTACTCTGCAAATGACTAAAAAAAAACAGGTGACATGATATCGCAGCTGCTGACAACGTGATGAACATCTGGATGCGTTTGCCGTTGTCGCCGCGTCAGCTTGAATAGTGTAGGTGATTTGAACACGCCAAACACATCTTGAAGTACTTAGACATACATGACATCGCAGCTGCTGACATCGTGAACAACAACTGAATATATTTGCCGTCTGCCGTCATAGCCGCGTCAAAAAGATACGTCTAGGTAGTTCAAACACGCTGTAGCACCTC